GTTTAACATATGTGCATGTAATATTGAAAACACAAAACGAACTTTTAGGCATAACCTAAACCTTACGTCACATAATAAAGAGTTGAAATATTCTAAGATATACTGACAAGAGGCTAAGCATTTTAGACACAATGTAGAGATAAAACGGTATAACATAATAATGATTTGTCAAAAAGTAAGGGAAAATTGACATCATGTAATAGATTCCCGGCGTCATGTAGCATATTGATGACACAATATAGTAAAGAATTGGCCACATGTGACAATTTTTTTCACATCATATATGAAATTCTGACATCATGTTATAGCGACTTGATATTGAATTAAAGATAAATTCACGTCATGTAATGAACTACTTAGACTAAATAGTAGAGAGTGCACATAATGTAATAATGAGTTTAAATTATATAATAACATCTTTACACCACGTAAAATTGTTTTGACTTAATGTCATAAAGAGCTGATATAATGCAATGGAAGATTGGCGCAATGTAATTGAAGTGCGAGTTAACGCCATAAAGACTTAACATAATGTAATGGAAAGTTGACATAACGCAATAGTAGTGTGTGTAAATGTCATAAAGAGTTGACATAATGTAATGGAAAGTTGACATAACGCAACAGTACTGTAAGTAAATGTCACAATGTGTTGACATAATGTAATGGAAAGTTGACACAATGCAATTGTAGTGTTCTGCTATAAGGCAGTGACGGCGTTCCATAGTATCATGTAACAATTTAATTATAATGCATATTAACACAAAAATAGATATGATCATTTAGAAAACAAATCATTTAATGCCTTTTGAATATTTTTGAATGTTGATATACTTTGTGTGATATCGGATCTCCTACTTAAACCATGTTTTGAAAGATATTTGTTAAATTCTTTAGAGAAACTCCCTTGCAAATTTCAGTAAATGCCTGCGCGTGATATTTCCTTTATGCGACATGCAATGCCGAATTTGCCACTCGACAATAATTAAATTCTTTTCAATCATTTTATCTAGCCTACTTTAGGCAATGAAACATATGGGGACAACGAACGGAATTAATTCAAGACCAAAAGTCCATAAAACAATACAAAATAGGAGCAGAGCAAACACGGACCTCCAAAACATTGGAGATGGGATCAGGTGTATTGGGGGAGTGAGCATCCCCTGCCGAACGGTCACACCCGCCGTGTGCTCCTTGTCATGATCGGGAAATAGACACCATGATAGAGTCTGCCACGTCTGTTTCAATGTGAATGTTTTACTGAGAAGATACATTGTAAGGGCAAACTTACAGCTTTACTTTATGACAAACGAGATAATCTTAATTTTCCGTCGTCAACTTTTCTCAATATTCGATACTCAAGAGCATGTTCTGAGTACGATCACTTTTTACTTTTTTTATACACTGTACCGAGGCAGGCTACTGACAGATAAAGTGATGTTACAGGAATTAAAAAAAATGGGTTTTTTATTATGATAACCTTGTTAGAAAATATATAATCTATCTAGTTGACTTGTTTCCTGCCAATTGTTATGCCTTTGTTTTTATACTGAATTTGAATAAGGAGTGTTCCGTATACCTAATCAAAACATAGGGCTCACGGCGGGTGTGACTGGTCAACAGGGAATGCCTGCTCCTCCTAGGCACTTCATCCCATCTTTAGAATTACCCTAAGGTCCGTGTTCATGCCCTGTTCACAGTTTTGATTTGTTTTTAGATTTTTATTTTAGACTGGTCAGTATTCGTGACCTTCACCCTTTTCACCATGCCTTCATCCCTTAAAACTGTCTTATTTACCATTGAAATAAATTTATCTTTGAAATTTTTTATGGCTTCTTTGTTTTTAAGGATTTTCTGTATAATTGGGATTTTTTTACTTTGAGAGAAGTACATGTATATTACATAAAGATATAAATATTATGTTTTTCCTTTTCTTTTTAATATACAATTCCAAGACTTTTCCTCAAGGAAAAAAATGAACAAATATCACATGTATCTTATCTTAAAATGTTAAATATTCCTTAAAAAAATTATTCCAAATCAAGTAATACACAGTAGATTTCAATTTTATATTGCATCAAGAGGGAAGATAATTCTAATTATAACTGCATAAAAATATACCACAGAATAAGAAGACTTTCGTAGGAGGTGAATAGGATTCTTTCACAAAATTAAAGATTTTCAACGATTTTCTTTGAATTGTAAATTTCAAATGTCTTAGACGCTCTCCACTTGAATTAGAATATTGGCAGTGAAGATTGTTATCATTCAGATATTTATATAAGGCTTCCTGGCTGCGGAATTGGATCCAGGCTGTTTTAAACTTTAAGAACTTGAAGGGTACTTGACTTACATTTTCAAATGTTATTGATCACGTTAGTTCGCTTAAGACACGATGCACATATTTTTAAAACTGGTTATTTTGTTAATAACATTGCTATTTTAGGTTGTTTTAACATTTTAAAATTGCAATCTTCGTATATTGCGATCTGCTGGTTTTTAATCTGAATACTGAAGACTATGAGTTTCCTTTGCTTACTTTTTTGAATATTGTACACTGATTAAAAGTTTTAAATATTTGGAGGGCACCACATGATTTTGAACGGGGAGGCAGCTATTTGAAAAATTTAATCTTGTCCTTCTTCGAGAATTGAGGGTAATGTTATTTGATGAACCTTTGTCCAACTGTTAAAAATACATGTATATCAGTCACAAAATTGACCCATTTTCAAAGAAAAAAATTTTGTTGCACGATTAGAGAAATAAACATCTTTGTACAAGTCTACCATCACGTATGCTTAAAACATATCATATTACAATTTAATTACAATGATTTTTTATTTCATCTTAAATACACCATTTGATAATTTTCGCAATGTCAAGGTTTTGTAATATCTTGCCTTTTCATTTTGTTATGCGATGCTTTAATAAAACAACCACTAACTTTAGATAATTTTTTTCTTTCCATTTTGCAGAAAAAATAAGCATCGTCCAATAGTTTGAGTGTTTTGTGTTTTTGTTGTTGTTGTTGTTGTTTAGTTGTACGTAATCTCAAAAGTCAAAACCTTGACATTGTGAATAATTCATCTTATATTTGGGTACATGGGAGGTGTAAATACAACAGAGATTGCATACAATTAATTATGATATGAAAATCTGTAAAAGGTGTCCAAAAGTACAATCTGATTAAAGCGACCATCAGAATTTCGGAGCGTAACAAAGATCTGATTTTAATCAGATTGCTAAAAGTAACTGTTTTGTTACTGGGTTACTAGAAAGAATATATATTGAAAAATCTGTTGTTTAATTATGAGCATGTAAAGTATGTGAACAATGTTATTTGGACGACGTCGGGTTTAAGACTTGAAGTGCCAAAACTTTGACACTGAAAAATTTGAGAATTTAAATTTTAAATTTACAGTGGAAAAAAAAAGACTTCAAAGCCTGCAATTCAAATACGAGCTCAATTTCTAGCATGATCCATGGTTTCTGTTTGCAATATATATGCTAAAGTAAAGAAAAACTTAAGTGACTTCTGGTTTTCTTTCTTCGTTTTTCTCTGAATTTGCAAATTCATTTTCCTCGACAGTTTTCTTTTCTCTCTATAATTAGAATTCATTGAAAAACAGTGAAGAGTCTTGTCCTTAAGATATTTATATGTCAGTTGTAAACTAGAAGAACTTGAGAGATACTTGACCTTAACAATTTCTATCATACTGATCATTGAAAATGTTATACTTGAAGGAACAAATTTATTAGTCTTTTAAACTTTGTCATTATATTCCCTATGTTAAGCATTCAGATTATATTTTAACTTTTACTTACTTTCTCAATTAAATAAATTATTTTTTCTCAAATAAATTTTATTTTATTAGCATAGGAATTTGATACCTGCATGCTTTAATGTGCTCGTGACGGATCTTACACATATTTAACACATTTAAAGCAGACTCAAAGGAAGGAAATCAGGGGGACACAACCATATATTTTAAAATTAAATAAATCCTTATATAGCCAGCAAAAAAAGAGGGGGGCACGATACGTTAATATTGAGGGGTCACAAGTATAAAGAGGCTATGTTTTCTATATCAATAATATATTGGCAGAATTAGCAGAGCTGCCCCCTTGGTTCCTACGGCCATCTAAAGCCAACTTGACTGAATAAAATGACACTCGATTGCACAGAAGGACATACGCTAGCAGATAGAATTGAAAGAGAAATTACGTATTTTCGAGAAAATGAGTTACATTTTGGTAGTCAAGTTTAGGTTGTAATGGGGGGAATGAAATAAGATATGAACGTCATCCATTAATCAGGTGTAAATTATTGCGCTGAATTAGGATTGGTTTGTTAAAATATATTTTTTAAAAAACCATTGCGATGCCATAGGAACGTGTAGCGCACTAAGATCAGTACTTTGCAACAAAATGATCAAGTGACTCAAGTCCATATTAAAAATAATTTTCGTTTCCCATACCCCGATCCAGGATTTTAAAAAAAAATTGGGTTCGTATAGGTAGTGTAGATGGGATTTCTTTTTCAGAAAATTTCAACATCTATTTTCGATATCTTTAAAGTGGAGTGCATAATAAAAAAATATAGTTTATTGGAGGTTAACAGATTTTTTTTATGCAGGTCATTTTAAATCAGTCGGTCGGAACATTTTTTTAAAATGAATTATGCTATATGAAGTAATAATATGAAGTATGCTATATGAAGTTATAATATTTGTCCTCGTGCGCTGATGAACACTATTACGTTTTTTTTCTTTATCATTATTTTCCCCATCATATGTGTTCTTCTTATCAAACTTAATTTTCACGACTATTTAATGCCTTTTACGATATGGCATTTCTGTAAGGTAGAGAAACTAATTTTTTTAACCTGTCTACAACTTTTTAGGACAATCCTTCTAGAGCCATTTCAATTAAACTTTAAGAATGCTTAACTTTAAAAATTATATATAAAAAAAAATAATGACATAAATTAATAGAAAAACAAAAGACTTGAAAGATTTATTAATCTTAATAAAAATAAGATAAATAAATAATAATATCTCAAATTAAAATTGAAAGACTTTAAACATTTGTGACACTTAAAATATTAAAGATAAACAATAAAATGTAATAATCTCCAAAAACTTTAAAAAACAAAATCTTGAAACATCCTTTAGTCTTTGAAATACGAGATCAGGCTTAAATTTTAATGGCTCCAAATTATAGGTTTAAGCCAGGCCCTTCATCCACTGAACTTCAGTTGGCAGCTTAAAAGTAGAGAGCCATGCATTCCTCTGTACATCCCAACACTCTATATCATCGTGCAGATTTTCCCGTTGATTGGTCGATAATCCGCCAATCAAATACAATTTATTACCTAAATGAAAACAGCAAAATTAAGTGAACGTAAAATATACTGCCAAGTACTTATATTGATATTCCTACGAGTACAAATGCTCTACCAGGTACTTTAAATGACTTTATTTTTAGCTCACCTGAGCCGAAGGCTCAAGTGAGCTTTTCTGATCACATTGTGTCCGTCGTCCGTCCGTCCGTCTGTCCGTCCGTAAACTTTTCACATTTTCGACTTCTTCTCAAGAACCACTGGGCCAACTTTGACCAAACTTGGTACAAAGCATGCTTGGGTGAAGGGAAATTTAAATTGTGAAAATGAAGGGCCAAATCCCTTAACAAGGGGAGATAATCAAGAAAAGACAAAAATAGGGTGGGTTCATTAAAAAATCTTCTCAAGAACCACTGGGCCAGAAAAGCTGAAACTTATGTGGAAGCATCCTAGGGTAGTGTAGATTCTAAACTGTTCAAATCATGACTCCCAGGGATTGGGCGGGGCCACAATGGGGAGTCAAAGTTTTACATAGAAATATATAGGAAAACTCTTTAAAAATCTTCTTCTCAAGAACCACTGGGCCAGAAAAGCTGAAACTTATGTGGAAGCATCCTGGGTAGTGTAGATTCTAAATTGTTCAAATCATGACCCCCGGGGGTAGGGCGGGGCCACAATGGGGAATCCAAGTTTTACATAGAAATATATAGGAAAAACTTTAAAAATCTTCTTCTCAAGAACCACTGGGCCAGAAAAGCTGAAACTTATGTGGAAGCATCCTAGGGTAGTGTAGATTCTAAATTGTTTAAATCATGACCCCCAGGGATTGGGCGGGGCCACAATGGGGAGTCAAAGTTTTACATAGAAATATATAGGAAAAATCTTTAAAAATCTTCTTCTCAAGAACCACTGGGCCAGAAAAGCTGAAACTTATGTGGAAGCATCCTGGGGTAGTGTAGATTCTAAATTGTTCAAATCATGACCCCCGGGGGTAGGGTGGGGCCACAATGGGAAATCCAAGTTTTACATAGAAATATATAGGAAAAAACTTTGAAAATCTTCTTCTCAAGAACCACTGGGCCAGAAAAGCTGAAACTTATGTGGAAGCATCCTGGGGTAGTGTAGATTCTAAATTATACAAATCATGACCCCCGGGGGTTGGGCGGGGCCACAATGGGAAATCCAAGTTTTACATAGAAATATATAGGAAAAAACTTTAAAAATCTTCTTCTCAAGAACCACTGGGCCAGAAAAGCTGAAACTTATGTGGAAGCATCCTGGGGTAGTGTAGATTCTAAATTATACAAATCATGATCCCCGGGGGTTGGGCGGGGCCACAATGGGGAATCAAAGTTTTACATAGAAATATATAGGAAAAATCTTCTTCTGAATAACCACTGAGCCAGAAAAGCTGAAGCTTATATGGAAGCATCCTGGGGTAGTGTAGATTCTAAATTGTTCAAATCATGACCCGAGGGGGGGGGTTTAGGGCGGGGCCACAATGTGGAATCAAAGTTTTACATAGAAATATATTGGACAATCTTTGAAAAGCTGAAACTTATGTGGAAGCATCCTGGGTAGTGTAGATTCTAAATTGTACAAATCATAACCCCCGGGGGTTAGGGCGGGGCCACAATGGGGAATCAAAGTTTTACATAGAAATATATTGGACAATCTTTGAAAAGCTGAAACTTATGTGGAAGCATCCTGGGGTAGTGTAGATTTCAAATTGTCTAAATTTTGATCAGTGGGGTAGGGTGGGGTCACAATATGTATTACAAGGGGGAAATCTAGTAAAGAACAGAATGGTCAAAGCTTCTCAGGTGAGCGATGTGGCCCATGGGCCTCTTGTTTTATAATTTGATTAGTCAACACATATTATACCAAAAGTTATTCAAATATCATGAATCATGAAGCCTTAGATATCCTACCTGAAGCAAAAGAGGCAGCACAATGACGCGCTTTATCCAAGTAGGTACGCAACATCCAGGAATCTGTGTTTGCATCATACAAGTCAACATCCTGTACACTTGACGCTACTGATGAATTTTGATCAAAAGCCAACCCTCCACTTAGGTACAGACCATTTTCAATGCAAGTCATTGTGGCATGACAACGACCATATCTAAGGGTACCCTTTGCAATCCATCTGCAAAGAAAAATCAATGCATGAAAGACAGTTATACATGTGCTTGTAACAATTTCTTTAAGTTCTACAAACAAATACTAGTAGTTTAGTTAACCATGTCCACATACGTACCTGTCAGTGCTTGGCTGGTAACATTCAACACTATCAAGGATAGTAGAATTTCCATTCGGGGAGTATCCAAAGCCCCCAGCAACGAATATCTTTCCATTCAGCTCTGCGGCACAAGCTCCAGCACGTGGTGTCGACAGAGACTTCACGAAATGCCAGCTGTTTGTGGATGGATTATAACACTCCACTGACTTCAGAATTCTAGAAATATTTTAACAATACAATCAGACATTAGGAAATGACTTTGGTTAATTTGAATTGAAGGACAATATAATTATGCTTGTAGACCTAGAAAAATACAAGTCAATAGTTTGATCCTTAAAGTTTACAAATATTTAAATTGTACAACAACCTTAAAGTTTACAAATATTTAAACTGTACAACAAGCAACATGCATATAACAGTAAAAAAAGATCTACCTGCCGTTTCTTCCAAGACCACCGATGGCGTAAATGCAACCATCAAACACGCAGAGTGCGTGGTGCATCCGGGCAGTTCTCAGTGACGTCAGTTTCCGCCAGCTACGCTCCGGAGAGTAAACCCAAACATCTCTTCGGGGAAGTGGATTGTCGTCACTATAGCGCAATCCTCCTGTAAAACAACACACTTTTTATGAAAACTCTTCAGATGACTTGATTATACGAAGCAGTATAACATTGTTTAATTCATATTTACCTATCACGTATAACTTCTGGTCCAATACAATCATGGAAGAGTTTTCATTCAGGTCCGGTTTGGGTATTTGGTTAGTGTTGTGCTTCTTACCAAAATTCCCATCTATGCCCAAAAAAGAAACAGACTTGTCAATTAAAACAATTTATTTGCATGTAAATCCCATTGAATAGTTTGATTTAATTTATCATAGGGACAGTCAAAGCTAAAAAAGAACACCATGATAGATTAAAACTGACTCACCTTGTGGTGGAGAGGGTTGTCCAAACGATTGCCTACTTCCGGTAAAACTCTCCGTGTACATGGAGTCATTATGGAAACTTTCGATACTTCCGAATGAGATGTCCAACATGTTTACCGGAGTGGCGTTATTCTAAAATCAAGGAAAACCAGTGGAACAAGAGAATTGTTTTAAGCAAAAATAAACGTATTGTCAAAATTTTTACATCGTTTTCTTTGGTTACTTGTAGTCGTACATGAAAAAACAAAGGTACTCACATTGAAATGGTTAGTGCTGTTGTTGGAATTTTCGTGCCCAGTAAGGTACCTTGAGTCTGGTATATTCAGGTTTAAGGGATCTTGTCTATTCAGTTCCATCACAGTTCTAATCCTTTAAAAAATAGTGATATGATCGAAGGTTTGGTATAAACTAAAAGTACGGGCACCAAATGAATATTAAGTATGGGGTAAACTAAAGATTGTATGAAAGAAAATGACAGGAATATTTACCAGTTGGCCTTGTATATCATGTTAAGGCAATTCTCATTGGCTGTCAGAAGACTGCATCTGTCTATGCACTGAACTAAGTCTTGTTGAGGCATCAAAGGGAACCGGACACATTTCATAACTGTTTCAAGGTACTGCTCACGCTCATCTGGACATGCATTAATCCACTTTAAGCCGGCGCAGAAAACTTCCATTTCAGATGAAGTAACCAATTCATCGTAAGTTAGAATAACGCATAAGGTTCCAACGTCTAGTTCCAGGAACGACTTGCACTCAGAGATGTCCAGAAACCTCTTAGAAATACATCGTAGTATGGGTGTAATGAAATCATGCACCGTATCCTTCCTCACCGCCACCAGTAACTTAACTATATCATCGTGTGGGAGGGTTTTTAACTGTCTGAGGCATCTTTCTCTGATTAGTGGTATTTGGAACTGCATAGAGATTTTTATCAAGTCCAGAATAGTTGATGAGGTTATTTCTAATTGTCCAGTGTAAACGAAATTTAGGAATGATTGTAATGACTGTATTGATAAACCTCTAAGACGGATGTCTGCCATAGCTTTAGATCTGATGCTGCTATTTTCAATGAAAATGGATTCGAAGTAAGGACTCACAGTGCACAACGCACCGCGATGAGCATATAGAACGTCATCATCCAAACAGAACCGGACGTCATAAATCTTGCCATGATCGTAACATTTTTTGTAGTAAGAACCAATTTCTGCAAAGTGCATCCTTTGATCAAGTGTTTCATTTTGCATCTTGTCGAAATAGCCATGGGATTCGTTTGGAAACGGAGGCAGAAATTTTTTTCTCATCATGGCGTCATTGTTTATAAGGTATTGTGAAGATTGGGTGGATAAATTACCCGAAGCGCGCCCATCACTGCCCGGAGACGATTTACGGGTAGATGATGTACCGGAACTACGCCCATCACTGACAGGAAATAATTTACTTGTAGATGATGTAACGGAAGTGCTCCCGTCACTGGCCGGAGATGATTTTCGGGTAGATGTGCTAATAGGTTCGTTGATTGCCGACTCGTAGGAATTAGTTGACCAAGAGTCACTAGTATACACCCCTTCAGAAAAAACACAAGTCTTACCTTACCAAGGACATCAAATATAAATACAATGTATTTGAGAGAAAACAATATGTTTGTAAAACAATGATGCCCCCGTATGGCAACAAAGCGAAGGTTAACCTTTCTCAAATGCAAATCAAATATGCTGGTACCCAAAGTAAGGTCTTCTCACAAGAAATACAATTGTGGAATATAAAGGCCTTTGCACCAACTGACCAAGGTTCAAGTTTTTTTTTAAAGTAAGTCAAACTCCAAGGTCAAAGGGTCAAAATTGTTGGTATTCAATGAATGAAAGGTCTTGTTACAGGGATTACATATGTGAAGTATAAAAGCCCTAGCCCTTACCGTAAGGTTATAATTTTAAAAAGGATAGGGAGAGGGCGTAATAAGTTTTTAGAACTTTTGCCCAATCCCAATTGTAAAGTATAAGCAATAAAATATGTTCAAATCTAAAAAGGAGGCCAAACTCTAAGGTCAAGGGGTCAAAGTTGTTGGTATTAAATGAAATGTCTTGTCACAGGAATTACATATGTGAAGTATGAAAGCCCTAGCCATTCAAACGTTATTACCAAGGTTTAAGTTATTTTAAAGTATGCCAATCTGCAAGGTCAAAAGGGTCAAAGTTGTTGGTATTCGATGAAAGGTCTTGTCATAAAGAATACATACGGTATGTGAAGTATGTAAGTCGTAACTCTAATTATTTAAAAGTTATGGTCAATATTAAAGTTTTTTTCAGTAGGTCAAACTCCAAGGTCAAGGGATCAAAATTGTTGGTATCCGATGAAACGTCTTGTTACAAGGGCTACATATGTGAAGTATGAAAGCCCTAGTCCTTATCATTCAAATGTTATGACCAAAGTTTTTAAAAGTAGGTCAAACGTCAAGGTCAAAGGATCAAAGTTGTTGGTATCAAATGAAAGGTCTTGTCATAAAAAAAATACATATGTGAAGTATGTAAGTCCTAGCACTAACCATTCAAAAGATATGGCCAAAGTAAAAGTTTGGTATTTTTGTGTAAAAGTGTGTCAAAATCCAAGGTCAATGTGAAAAGGTCAAATTTGGTGGTACCCAAAGAAAGGTCTTGTCGCAAGGAATGCATCTGTAAAATATGAACCCCATAGCCCCAAATGTTATAGACAAGATTAGAGTTTTGGCAGACAAAGAGACGGACGGACAGGGCAAAAACTATATATCCCCGAATCTTCGATTACGGGGCATAAAAACGTCAACAAATAGCTAGTTATGGTATAAAAAAAATAAACAAAATGAATAAGTCAAATAATGCAAATAAAACAAAATACTAGTATAATTATACATTTTCATCTATAGTACGATGTATCATGATTGCAATTCATGCACTTACTTGTGTTTGGGTGAGGAGCATAATAATTGTCACTTTGAGGTGCAATGTAAAAGCTGTCATCTGAAGTTGGGCTCCTACTGACAAGTTGAGCAGTACAAACAGAACCGGAAGAAGATGCCAGACTCCCCCTGACTTGTGGAGGAGCAAATTGAGAACCGGAAGAACATGGCAGGTCTCCGCTGTCATTCAACGCAGCCAATCTCTCCTCGGTTAAGGTCTCATCTGTTGTGATACTCTGATGTCCAACTATTGTGTGATCACTGGACGAATGTAAGGATGCCAAATCTTCTCCTGGAGATTTCAATAATGATGGACTCAGGACATGATACATGGAGGGGTCGGATGTGTTTGGAAAGATCTTCCTCATTTTTGTTGAATCTGCTTCATATATGCAATTTGTGGACATGGCGTACCGAATTTCAGGACTTTTATTTGTTTCTCTTACACTCTGGTTTTTATTCATTTCTTCAGGAGATCTAGCTTGCGATTTGGAAAATTGGTCTGAATTCCGGATATTAGCCACTACTTTCTTCACTGAGCTAGGGCGTATAAAGTCTCCGATCTCTTTGTCAGGGACACGGGTCCCTGGAAATCCATAACGTCGGTTACTGACAAGTTGAGCAGTACAAACAGAACCGGAAGAAGATGCCACACTGCCCCTGACTTGTGGAGGAGCATAGTGAGAACCGGATGAACATGGCAGGTCTCCGCTATCATTTAACGCAGCCAATCTCTCCTCGGTTAAGGTATCGTCTGTTGTGATACTCTGATGTCCAACTATTGTGTGATCACTGGACGAATGTAAGGATGCCAAATCTTCTCCTGGAGATTTCAATAATGATGGACTCGGGACACGATACATGGAGGGGTCGGATGTGTTTGGAAAGATCTTCCTCATTTTTGTTGAATCTGCTTCATATATGCAATTCGTGGACATGGCGTACCGAATTTCAGGACTTTTATTTGTTTCTCTTAGACTCTGGTTTCTGTTCATTTCTTCAGGAGATCTAGCTTGCGATTTGGAAAATTGGTCTGACTTTCGGATATTAGCCACTACTTTCTTCACAGAGCTAGGGCGTATAAAACCATCCAGTTCTTTGTCAGGGACACGGGTCCCTGGAAATCCATAAAGTCGGTTCCATTCGGAGAGAGCAATAGGCGGAGGTTTGAAGAGTTCTGTGGGAGACTCTGAATGTGTAGTAGGTTTCTCCACTGGCTGGAAAGGACTCGGGGCTACATTTCTACTGGAACCAGATCGCCATGGGTAAGGAACGGGGGGCGGAGCTGGGATTCTACCAGTAGGCTGATCCTCTCTTCTACACTGCGTCTGCCAATCAGAGGAATATGAATGCCTTGGTTGAATACGGGATCCTTGCATCAAATTATTTGGCCATCTACGATTTTCATTGTGTGGCACAAAACTGTCCGATTCTGTATTTCTCAAAGATTCCAGTGGCAGACGAATGGTATTTGTCTTATCCTTGCGACTTTCTTTGGTTTCAAGCATTGTGCATAAGGCAATATCTTGAATTCTAGATCAGCTTCAGTGTTTGGCTGCAACTACAACAAAACTGCCATGAAGATTTTATTGTGACGTAACTGCAACGACACGGTATTATGACGTAACAATGGGTGTAACTAAAACGCATAATGGAAAAAGAAACGAAACGAAAAGAAAATTTAACATATCTAAAAACAAACAAGTTATTTCTTTCGTGGCAAATATGATAAACAAAGAATCTTTACGTTGGTTAATAAAATGGGATGTTGGTGTGCTTCTGTAAGAAATCGGCGATATTTTGAAGTTTTCTATCTGTCAAGATCAAGATCTAGTTAAGTCACAACGTGAAAGGTGCCTACAGATTTCTTAAATTTGATACATAAATTCTTTTACTGATACTTTATAACTTTAACTTTGTCAAATATTTATATTTAGTTCGTATGAGTTTGTATGTACATATGTTGAAAAATCGTTTTTAAACTGTAACTTTCCATGAAAAAAAACCAACCAAATGAAAAGAATTGTGGGACCCCGCTTTCGGTGTCTTTGTGGGTGAAATGTTGTGAATTATGCCATATTGTGTCAAATTTGAACGCCCTATCATTTTCAAGAATAATCTGTTATCACCAAAGGTTTTTTGCGTGTTTTTTTTAATTGGGCCAAACATGAAGGTCACAGGATCAGAAATCAAAGCATGCGGGGGAATTTAAATATCAGTTTGTCACAGACACAGGTAAAGCACACGTAAAATATGAAAGCCCTATCTCTTCTAAAAAAGAAATCACATTTTTGAAAAATAGGTCAAACTTCAAGGTCATGGTCGCAGGGTCAAAATCATAATGTATTAAAGAAAGGATGTCACATGTATATATGTACCACAGGTGCTTGAGGACAGGAACCCCCCCCCCCCTTCACCCTTCGATATAGACCCCTAAGCTTTTTCGGCTTTTTTCTCTTTCTATCCTAAATAATCTTTCATTGGCATGTTTGTGATAAGATCTTTAATTAATTTATTAACAAATCGAAAAATTACCTTAAACAAACGTTCTATATTTTCTACCCTACATTCTATATATAGAAATCAGGTTAATTTATTTATAGAGAGTGGGGTAGAAATTTTTATAAAATGTTAGTTTAAGCAAATTTTCTGAATTGATAAGATAAATTTATTATATCACAAATGTGTCATCCACAAACAATTTATGTGAAAAAAGTCTAAGAGGCCCAGTGGTCTATATTGGGGGAGGGTGTTCCTAGCTGTCTTCCATCACCTGTGATATGTATAAAGGTTTTTTTTAATTACTTAGTATTTCGAGATCCCCACCCCCGGGATAAATGTATCCCTCTGTTGTTTCGGTAAATTAAATGTAAATGATATATTTCTCCATATTAATTGCAAGTGTGCTAAAACTGTAAATAATTCTTAAACAATGAAATTATTCATGTGCCTGCATCATCTCAGTACTACAGGCGCTTGACGTTTCTAACCATTCTTTCCATAATAAAAATATCTCCTAAACTATAGTATTGGGGATATTTTTTTATGAAAAGAAAGGTTAAAAAAGGAAAACAGGATGATTGATTGTATGCCGTTTAACGTCCCTCTCGAGAATTTTTCACTCATATGTAGACGTCGCCACTTACCGGTGCAGTGGAGAGCTTCAAATTGTCCCACTACTCCGCGATCGTAGAGCAGGCACTCTAACCACTGCGCCACACGGGCGACATAAACCATAGCCGCTTGGTTTCAGGATGGTGTATTTTGTGTATTATGTGTTTGAATACCCTCATTAAAATAAAAAAAAAATTCGCTGAAATTAGCACGTTTTAAAAATGTCATATTTACCTCGACCGTCTGAAAACAGTAATTATTGTTTTGTTCACTGTAGCTCTCAGGTCTATCAATATATGTTTTTCGGAGAGCTACAGTTCTGCAGCTAAGGCCTATACATATCACCTTGCTGCAGAATTGTAGCTCTCCGAAAAAAATATTAAGTTGTTTAACTATAGGTAAACGTACGTTATAACACCTCTTTACCTCTTCAACACCCCCCATGAAAATTTATAGATCCGCTCCTGAAGTCTGTATATTCGGGATCAAAATTCACGAGACCATGTTGAACATGTAGTTCCAAAAACACCAAATATATAAAATATTTAATATAATCATATACGATTATAAACAAACATTAAAAACAAAGGTTTTCAACATTCGTTAGTCTTTAAACATCTTACGATAAACAATAATAAACAATTGTAAACAAATAATAAAAACAAATAATAACAGAAAACTTAATCATCCATTAAAAACAAAATCTTTAAACAATCATTAGTCTTTAAAACACGAAATTAGACTTTCTCCAAATTCTAGAATTAGGCAAGGCCCTTCATCCACTGAACTTCAGTTGGCAGCTTAAAAGTAGACAGCCATGCGTTCCTCTGTACGTCCCAACACTCTATATCATCGCGCAGATTTTCCCGTTGATTGGTTGATTTCCCACCAATCAAATACAATTTGTTACCTAAAACAAAATAGCAAGAACAAAGTGAATGTAGACATATACTGCGAAGTACTTTCTTAGGTATTCTGAAGACTAACAAATGCTTTATTTTAAATAATACTTGATATTTGATAAGTCATCACATATTATACCAAATTAAAGTTTTTCAAATATTATAAAGCATTATATCCAACCTGAAGCAAAAGAGGCAACATTATGTCGCGCTTTATCCAAGTAGGTACGCAACATCCAGGAATCTGTGTTTGCATCGTACAAGTCTACATCCTGTACGCTTAACGCAACTGAAGATTTTACATCAAAAGCCAATCCTCCACTTAAGTACAGGTTATTGTCCATGCAAGTCATTGTGGCATGACAACGACCATATCTAAGGCTACCCTTTGCAATCCATCTGCAACGAAGAATAAATGCATGAAAGACAGTTATACACTTAAAGGTCTGCAAAGAAACAGTTCAGTTGACCATGTCCACATACGTACCTGTCAGTACATGGATGGTAACATTCAACATCGTCAAGGATTGTAGAATTTCCATTCGGGGAGTACCCAAAGCCCCCAGCAACAAATATTTTTCCATTCAGCTCTGAGGCACAAGCTCCAGCACGTGGTGTCGACAGCGATTTGACGAAGTGCCAGCTGTTTGTGGATGGGTTGTAACACTCCACTGACTTCAGGATTCTAGGAAAAATTTCAAAAATAAAATCAGACATGAAAGATTTAAAACATATATATATGCCATATCATAATATGGAATGTATTTGGTTAATTTGAAGGAAAACATTATTATGCTGGTAGACCCAGAAAAATACAAGTCTAGTTTGGTCCTTAAAGTTCACAACAAGCAACAGTCAATTATGTACAGTAAAAGATCTACCTGCCGTTTCTCCCAAGACCACCGATGGCGTAAATGCAACCATCAAAAACACAGAGTGCATGGTGCATCCGGGCAGTTCTCAGTGACGTCAGTTTCCGCCAGCCACGCTCCGGACAGTAAACCCAAACATCTCTTCGGGGAAGTGGATTGTTGTCATTATAGCGCAATCCCCCTGTAAAACAACACACTTTTTATAAAAACTCTATGATGACTCGATATTCTACGATTATTGGCTACTTCAAAGGAAAGCCGCGGACATTATTCTCCAATAAATCACGAACGTCATCAAAAAATTATCAGATCAGAAACACGTATAAAACCTGTGCAGTTGAAATGTACATTTGACTTAAGAATGAAATACGTATTTAAACCACATTGATGTGTCGTCTTTTGCAATTTAAACACTGTATATTGCAGAAAGTGGCTGATGAATGTAGGTTTCTAAGGCCAAGCGGGGCTGTTTTCCGAACCTCCCTCCGCCATATTTAAACTCCATGATCTTGGTAATAATTAAGTGGTAAATAGGAAACTGATTTTGTTATTGTATATTCAAAAAGATTAATCTTTTTAAGCTACAAACAATAAAAGGCTAATTTTAATGCAGCGAAAGCTCAAATTGTCTGCACTCTATTCACAGGTAAACAAACAAATTTACACTCTGGTGTTAAATGGAACAGCGTTTAAGCAGCATGGTGACCTACTTCGATTCTCTATAGCGAAACGATCAGTCGTATTTTAGAGCTGCTAACAACATGTAGCAGAAAAGAAATAAAGTCCTTGTTTTCGTGAATAATGCAGAATAACCTCCTCGGTCTCGAAATGTTTGTTTGAAATATAAAAGCCTCGGCTAACGCGTCGGCTTTTATCTTTCAAACAACATTTCTCGACCTCGGAGGTTATTCTGCAACATTCACTAAAACGCGGACTTAATTTCTTAAATAAAAGCATTTTAAAATTGTTTAGTTTTTGTTTACCTATCACGTATAACTTCTTGCCCAATACAGTCATGGACGAGTATTCATTCAGGTCTGGTTTGGGTATTTGGTAAGTGTTGTGCTCCTTAATAAAATCCCCATCTAAACCTAGAAAAGAAATAGAACTGCCAATTTAAACAATTTATTGTAGGAATCAATGTCTAGTTAGTATATAGTATGCCAGGGCATCAACGATAGTGGGGAGCATGGGATAATTTGCATAACGGGCGAAGCCCTTTATGCATAAATTATCCCATATGTTTCCTACTATCATTGATGTCCCTGGCATACTATACTAACTAAAGATGATTCCTTATATTTCCATTACATTGTAAATTGTAGATTTAGATTTTAAAAATGTAGACATAGATTTAAATTACACGAGGACTCTCATGCCAATTTCAATAGTCCTCGCCCACTGACGTCAAACACAAAGGCAGCCGCACGAGATTTACATGCATATTTGGCCTCCTTAGCGTCAGACATAGGGACAAAAATACGCATGAGATTTGCATGTATATTAGGCCTCCTTAGCTTCTGACCTATCGACCTGCCTAATTTACATTCCAGTAGAATTATCAAGATATCAATCCGCTAACTTACAAAGAGTTAGCACAGAGAAAAAAAATTAGAAATGGAAATATTTGCATTTAAAT